AAAAAAAAAAATATGTAGATGAAAACGTCTTCAAATAATTCATGATTCAAGACGCAAAAAAATTTATGAAATAAAAAAAAATGTTCGCGAATAAAACAACGTACGTGCACGCATTATCTACTGTAGAGATTGAATAAATTTACCACGAGCAATGTCGGTAGATTAAGTGACAAAGTGATGATATGAAGATATATACTTTGCAATAGTAACAGGCAATGTAATCACTATCTATTATCGCATAATAGAATTGAAGTAGTGTAATCAAAAACATCAAAGCGTATCGCAACTATTGCTAAAATTCTTTTCAGCCTATTGGCGTTTAATTTCAATTATCATTTCGTATCGTGCACGTATTATGACGTGGCGTGTGGCTTGTTTGCATGATAAAACGATATCTCCGAAATGCGACTCGAGAAAACTATCAGTTTTGATAATACGAACTTGATTGATGATTTAAATGCTTAAATATGTCAACGTCACGATCTTCCTCGAAACTATGATAGAATTATGCCAGAGGAAAATTACGAAAATGATAGACGATTTATCTGTGTCTTACTTAATTGAACAAAAATTCGACATTCACACGTGTGAACTCTCAACCCTAAATTTTTTTAGAATTGTCTATTGCCTTTCTTGTTCCCGCTGTTTAAGAACAAACGTGAAGATAGTTTCGAGCAATCGCCGTGATTCGCGAAATTGCGTCGACTTTGCGAATAAAAATGTAGTATCGCGGGTGTATGCTAATCCTCGCGATGGCTGACCCCGTTAAATTCCCAGAATAGAGAAAACTGAAATTTCTCGTCACAGTCGTTTCACGAATCAACCAGCTTAATAAAACTCTCAGTCAAAGGAAGAATATCTCAATCGGGAGAAGTTTCATCGCCATAACCTCTATAGGTACGCGTAAGACATTAAATCAGCAAAAGAATGTTCAACATTGTTGAACGATGATCCGACGAATTTCCTCGACCATTTTAAACGATATTTTTCTCTCTTAAACGTGCACACTTTTCGTCGCAACTCTAACCTCTTATCCCTTCTTTTCCTCACACATTGTACCAATGTAGAGGATTCACGCTCAACAAGCATTGCTGATAACATTTCCACGAAGTTTTCATGGATCGTACGACGGTTTTATGCTAAATTAATTGCGAGAAAGTAAGAATTGCCCTTGATATCCCGAACCAAAGAAATGAACCCTCAAATAATGATCGTTACCGTGGTGGCCGCTGCCTCGGTTGCATTCTTCGGGTTTCTCGCTTATCGGATCAGAGCGCGATCGAACGACATAGATCTGCTGAGCGTGCCCCCGTTGGAAGACAACAGCACCCTCGACGAGGATCTCAAAGACATTTTGGCGTTCGTCCCCATAAAAGAGGTCCAGGAGATCATCAAACGATACATGCAGTACGACGCGCAGATAGGCGACACCGTGAGCTTCGTGAACGACCAGCAGAGATTCATAGTGCGCGAGTTCCAGAAGATGCCCGAGGCGAGCAAGCTGATTACGTTCCTGAGACAGAACGGCCTGAACGTGGACTCCTGGCAGGAGAAGATACAGTGCTTCTGGAAGACGTCGCCGAGGTTCGTCAAATACGATCCGAGCGTGGCAGCCGGCGGCCTAACCGTGATGATCAATAAAATCCTGGAAACTATGCCCCTGGACGAGCTGCACGAGCTGCTGCGACAGAAAGTGAAGTACTCGGCGAGTTTCCGCAGGTTCCTCCACGCGTTGAGATCCAAGGACTTTCAGGAGTTATGCAACGCGCTCGAGACCAACGACGTGCTGCATCATCATTACTTTTGGGCGAAAGAGGGCGGCCTGGAGATCACGTTCGCGATCGAGCTGTTCAACGAACTGTACGTCTACCTTACACAGACCTTGGTTACTTGAGAATTGTCGTCAATGATCGCTACCGAGTAATAAAATTGTAACTGAGATGTCAAAGAAACAAGTTAATCTTAATTCTTTAATTTATAAAGTTTATTCTAAAATTTCTAAATTACGAATAGAAGGATAGGAGTAGAATTCGATTTCTTTCCGAAAGATATTTAAACGTTATTCAATTGGTTAAATTAGAAGGGTGAATAAAGGGTAAGAAAACAGAGAGAGCAGTAGATATTTCTATTTTAAAATTTGCAAACTGGAAATAAAAGGGTAGAATTCGATTCCTTTCCATAAGACTTTTGTTATCTGACTGGTTCAATTACAAGTGAGTGAGCGGTAAGCATGATCGAAAAAGGGAGGATAATAGATATGCTTGCACATATGAAAGATTGCGAGTAATCTTTGAAAATATCTCTTCAGTTTGATGATATCTCCTGTTCTTTTATCATCACTCCATTTGATACTTCATAGCAGATAAGAGATATGTTTGTATACATTGCAAGTGAATTGAATAATTATTTTAACGATTTTCACGTACAACTATGTAAGAACTATTTACACATATAATTATACATTACAAAATCTTATTCAATTCTTGATGTTTTTCTAAAGTGTTATTAGTTATTAATTAACATTTTCTTATAATCATGTAAATACAATTTTTCACGATAGATTGCTCTTGTACAAGTCTAATCAAATTATCAAAAATTTCATTTTCTTCGTGTGGATTTGGATTTTGATTAAACAATCAAGACTGAGTATATATTTAATTTAATATATACTTAAGGCTAATATAAACTTAATTAAATTCAATTGCTAGATAGACTATATGTTGTCTATTCAATCCTACGCGATTCTATATTCTACATCAAATGCACATTCTACTTTGCTCAACGCCTAAATCTACACTTTTCACTCTTTTTCTCAACATGCACTCTCGTTGCCTCGTTCATTCCTTTTCTCTCATACCCTTAATGTTATATCATTCACAATTATTTTGATCATTGTGTAATGCCTGCAGGGCATCCATATGTCTGAGCCGCCTTAAAGTCATAAGCTTGACCTGTACTCCTGAATTAATAAAATCTTTCCTCCTAGAAGAGAATCGAACTGCATACTTAGCAGAAGCGGAATTGGGCGTGAAACAAAGGAGACGATATTTCAATGCAACATAAATGTATTTTATTATTTAACGAGAAATACTGAATTGTACAGATATCTTTTGGAAATTAAAACTTTACATTTGAACGGAAGCTAGAAGTAACAATTCAGAATAGACTTGGAAAGTGTGTCTGTCGATGCCGGATTTCGCTGCCTCGTTTTCTGCATTCTGGTAGTGCTTGTTCGTGAATATGGACTGGTAGAAGGGCAGATATTTGGTCGATATCAATTCGTGTACCAAGTCCTGGAATAACTTCGAGTGCTCCATCTTGTCATCATACAACTTTACGAAATCTTCTATCGACATAAGGGCAGCGACGTCCCGGACGTAGCCTTGGATTCCACCGGTGATTTGGACTTGAGGAGCCAAGTAAGATTTGATCACGGAGGACAGAGGTGGGATACCAATGCCTTTATTGAACGCTTTCATTAAGGCGACTATATCCAAACCATTGCTCTGGATATAATCCATTATCATTTTGAATTCGGACGCGTGTTCGATATCTTGTACCCATTGCTTCACTTCGCTGCCTCTTATTAGCTTTATGGCCGTCTGGAATTCCTTGTCCTGGGTCAGGTAGATTTCCGTTAGTGCGACAACTTTTTCAATGGGGATCAAGTCGACAAACGGCTGTAACTCTTTAGCGAGAGCGCCAGAACCCGTGGCCGGGAGTTTGATTTGATTTAAAGGACTAGCGAAAGCGCCAGAACCCGCGGCCAAAACAACCAAGAGTGCTACGATGGCCTTCATCTGCGAAGAAAAAAATGCTTTTTAAGCATCGTTGATACAGGGATAAATTACTCTGCGGCTGTTTACACTGTGCTTGGAATTATTTTATTTCTATTTCATACTCGGGACAAAATAGGATGCTTTTCTCAGAAGAAGCACGTATTTCTGTAAGAATTGCATGATTAAAAATAAGAAAAAGATGTTGTATTATTATAAAGTTATAAGAATAAAATTTTAAACGATCGGTTAGTTATTTAGTTTTGTGAATTTGGAAATATCGATTTAATTGTGATTAGAAAGATTGTATTTATTACTGACGATCAGTGTAACTGTGCGTTGTAATAGTACGTATTATACAAGTGGTTGGTAATTAATATCAAGTATTAGTTAGTTGAATAAACTTATAGTCTTGATATTTTTGTTACGACTACGTAACAAAGCATTCACAACATATTTTCTTTATTTTTAGTTATGCAACATTCTGACACTGTTTGGCGACATAGAAATGAAATACCCTGTACATGTATTTGATCGTTCTGAAGAAGAATTCTGAAGAAACTTTGCTTCGTCGGATCATATAATACATGTACTGCAATCGTGATCTTATGTCGTTGTTACTTTGTTCTGCGCCAAACAGAAAATAACAGCGAGAAAGATTCCAAGTTTCACGAAAGTAAGAATCAAACAGTTGTCCATACAACATATTGGTTAACAGTAATAACACACAACGCTTAGATTGCGTTTGTATCAGAAGTTAGTATCGGCACTCACCTTTGATGTTTTTCTTCTTCTTTGAGTCGCTTCTATTTCGCTTCACGATGTGAACTGTTGCCAGAACAGTGATCCTATTGCATTTTATATACAAGCTGAGCGGCCGATAATTGTATATCGATAAGATTAATCGATTTCATGAAACGCGTTATCTCGAATTCTACTTGCAAATAACTTTGCCTAGTCGCATATCTCGACGCATTTTTCCAAACGGATTGATTTCAAAAGCAACGTGTCGATACGTGGAAATGTTTTGAAAATGTTTAACGGTTTACGTCACGGTCGCGTGATAGGGTTGTCGATTCACAGGTCGTCGATCGATTCGAAAGAGAAGAAAAGAAATGAGAAAGAAGGAGAACCTCATTCCCTTGATGTACGAAGATGCATAATGCGGCGGCTTATTACATTAGGTCAAAGGAGAATATCTCGGGCGAAAGAAGTTTCGCCGACCTTCTTTGAGAGCTTCATTAAGGTAGACGTAAAAACGTGGCCCCACAAAGGAAATGTTTATCGACGTGTGATGGCTACTTTCCTAGCTGCTCCGCTCCGAGATCTTCCGCTCTCCTGATCTTTATTAAACACGCGAACTTCCTTTATACGATTTTTACGGTGCAGAATTGCATAAAATTACAATTTCCCCTCGTCCCCGTCACTATCTCTCTCTCTCTCTCTCTTTCCTCCCCCGCGTGAATCGACGAGGTATCTCGATAAAGTTGCATCAACGGCTACTCTAGACTAATCTCGGACGAGTTATACTATTTTTTGTAAAAAGAAATTACGATATGAACATTTAACAGGATATCTCGTCTTGAAAGAGGGAAGCATTGAGAATTTTTGTCAGTCGCAAAAGTTTCCCTTTCTTTCTACGGTAAATTGTGGTAAATCAGAACGTACTATTGATATCGTGAGAGTACCTCGTACTTTTCGTTGAAAGGAGAAACTTGCATTTTAAACATACCAGAGATTTCGATTTTACGAATTTTGTCACTCTTCCTTCCGTATCCGGAAGCGAAATTAAGTGAAATTCATCGAACGCGCCCGTTCAGGATCGTTTCCTCGAGGCGGTCATCAACGCCTCGTTCCAGAAGGGGGCCAGAAATTTAAGTCACGCAGTGGCGGGGAAGGAATTAATTCCGGTGAAGACGCCGCTTAGTCGTACGAACGCGACACGTCGGTGTGAGTTTGACGAGGAGCAGGCTGAAGGACGCACGGACAGAGGGGCGGGGGTGAGGGACTGTGCTAAGGCAAGCGGCTCGCGGTGTCTGCGGCAAACAATTCCAATTAACTCGCTGGAATTGGAATAGGACTCCTCTCGGCGACGCTCTCTCGACCGAGGGACCATCTCCCGGATGCACGAGCGTCGCCGGCGACGAGGACGACGCGGGGAACGTGCGCGCGTTCCCCTCGTCGAGCCTTTCACCCCCGTCGCCGCCCCATCCCGCGCGACGTTCCACGACGGCGCTACGTCGCACCGCTCCGTCCACGCGCAGAAATTAGCTGTCCATCCAGAAAGTTGGCGAAAACACGCCAACGAACGACAAGGAGAACGACCGGTGCCAGGCGAAATGAGAAAAACTCTGGCCGGATCCTCCAAGTTTCCCCGCTGGTATTTACATTTCAATTGGGCAACGGCTCGATCGAGACGACGATCGGAGCAGCAGCGTGTTTTCGACGAAAGGAATATTCACGCGGTCAGGACATCGCGGTGCATAATTTCCCTGATCCTCGATCCTCGAACCGGTCCGTCTCTCTATCTGGTCTCTCTGTCTGAAAGGCGGAGCCGGTTCGCTAACCAGGGGAGGCATAATTCAATCAGGATCTGGGAAGGGGATGTTTGTCAAGTACGGTTTCTTTGCACCGTGCACCGTGCAAGAGCGAGTGAATGGCGACCCGTTGGACCATTATCCGGCGCATAATGCTCGTCATCGTCGTCATCATTGTCCAGAGA